GAATTCGTATACCTCAATTTTATCACCAGCACTAGTGTCAGAATAGGTTTGTTCCATGACGATAATATACCAAAATATCTTATCTTCAATTTAGGTTATTTAGCTTCTCTCATCCGCACTGTAGTAAATACCCAGCATCAGGCGAAAATATGTTACATCACTAAACACATGATAAAATACTCATGGAAGTTCATGAGAACCATGATATTTGATAATTCCGTACCTTAGTCAGTAATGAGTCCCACCATCTCTCTGGTAACCGCTTAGAAGAATTATTTGGCGAATCAATTACTCGCATTGAGTGAATTATGTATTTCTTTTTTTCGAAACACGTGGGTGGCTTAGGTGCACAGTTTTATTCTTCTCCGCAGTAATACGTCACTGGTTCACATCCACAGAATATTCTATACGCAGTAGTGTAGTCACCGCATCTGCAGTCGTTATTTTTAGAGGATCTATTAATAACCTCGGCCAAGAACAATATTTTTATGTTGAAATACTGATGGTCTTTCCCCAGCGCCAAGCCGAAAGAAGTTCTGGTATGTTCTATCTCACTCATTACGCAGTTCTGAATTACTAATAAAAAATAACACATCCTGATTTACATGCTGATCGTAAGACAGGGCGTCGTTAAAAAGAAATTCAAAAATGGAAATAGAGCAATTAGAATCTATGATTTGCAGATCCTCAGATAAACGGTAAATTTTAGAGTAATCTATTCGTGAAACGTTATACATTATTTACGTATAATAATCCAATATAAAATGATCTATTAAATCTAATCATACTTCCAATACTTTTTTGAAATTCAAAACTTCTTAAGGTACGTACATTGGTCGTCTGATAAGAAATTGAAGTTACAGTATTATTTACAATCATAACATTAATCAATGGAATCTACAGGATTGTTTCACGATAATTTTGATAAAATGTATCAAGGTTCATTTTCATACAAAAATAACAATTCAAATACGGTCGTGATAGACCATAATAATAAAGCAATTCTCGAAAATATTGATCCAACTATTGCAAGAATTTATTTCGTTAATAGCGGTGGAAACCATATCCAAATTCCAAACAATATGACTTTTCGAGATGTTACTAACAGCAATAATGTACCACATACAATAGTTAATGGTGTCGAAAGCTTTTTAATATCTTGGATTAATACTTTGAGATAATGTTGAAATTTTCAAATTAGAAAATCAGAAACAACAGGTGATCAAAAAGATGAGATCCGGAGCCTCTCCCGTCAATAGTAGTACTATTCCAACCACTAACCATGCTAACTCAAACGATGATGTCGATAGTGTGGAAGCAAGTCTCACAAGGTAGGTTTACAGTGATTTTTTATATATGATAACAGATAATACAATAGTTTTATTCATCATTCTGAAATTATTTTCTTTAGAGTTTCAATTGAAGATACAAATACGAATGATAATAGCAACATTTAAAACATGTAATCTTATATTATTTTTTCATTTCACATAGTCATTTCTATGTATCGTACAAAATATAATTAAGTTCTTTTATTTTGAATTTTTAAACGTGTGTGCGTGTTTTGTACTGTATGATCATTAATATAAATAAATTTTATGCTACAAGAAAAAATCCACGTGTTTTTAAGATATTATCTTTGCTCGACATCACATGATCCACACATGTAACATCCGCAGTGTATGATGCAAGTTTATTTTTCTGGAAAGTTCTAACATATGATAATTGATAAAGTTATAGGAATTAGCAGTACGTAATCCAGCATGAGTGATTTATCATCTACTGTTTTTACAGATCTCGATCCATGATAGGTTCTTTATTCCGATTTTTTTGCAATAGGGGCATATCAGCTAATCTAGATAATAAACGGTAGATATACCATTGCTCCGTTAGTATAAATCAGTTTATCATATTCATCGGATTTTACTTTTAGCGCAATTTTTTCACCTGAAAAGAAGGGGTCATATCAAATAAGCAGTATATTTTATTAGAATGGCAAAAATATTCATGTGGATCTGTCTGATAATTTTTTATAAATACCCTGCCTATTTCCCTCACTTTTTGATCTACATCATAAGTTAATAATGCCAATTTTTGTATCGAACTGCGCCACAAATGAATAGAACTCCCGCCTTCTTATATACTCGAATCAAGAAAAAAAAAATATTTTTTCCTTTACCTTTGGTTTATACACTATAAGCAGTTTACTGAAGTAAAAAACGTCTCGCCAGGTATATATTATAGTATTATAGTTCTTCCTTCGGTCTACGGGTATCATTCTTTAGACACGAATGAAATAAGTGAAATAGGGTTAGGGGACTAGGCTTTATATATTGTAGCATATTCATATACTGTACATACATGAATCCCAGAGGGTCCAACGAATATTTCAAAAAAAATTTATTAATAAAAAACTTTCTCTCGCGTAAGGCCTCACGGCCAAGCATTTACAAAAAATATTATTATTATTATTATTATTATTATTATTCATTGTTTGAAACATGTTGTAGGGATATGGGGATACGGGAGTGCACTAACTTTTTTTGTCTTTAAGTACAGGCGCCACTCTGGATCTTAACATTTCTTTTTTCAGAAATAGGGGTATGGATATGATATCATTTTCATAATTATTTCAGGCCTGTATTTCGATGCGGATTCTCTCTTCTAATTATACTAGCATTAATGGGTGATTCTTTTGGGATCCTTTCCGTAGAACTGACTGTAAAATGTATAAAAGGGATGTGGATTCACCTTTAGTTTTACTAGCGATAGATCATACTAATAAATCATAAAAAATTACGCAAAACAACCTGTGATCTAACATACCTGAACATATTTTTTTTTCTACTTCACTCTGAAAATATGTCTGCACTCGTCTTGCAAAACAACGCCTTGTGGTATATCTTTGAAAACTTTACAGCTTCTATTCTTCTTAACGTCTGTTTCTTGATTTATGTCATCAGAAACCAATTCTCCAATCACCCTCCTACACATGATAATAAAATTGCTAATGAGCTTTCTGCACATATGACCGAAATTAATGGTATTCTTACCGCAGAAATCGAAAAAAATAAGACACGTGATGGAAGTATTACTGCGGAAATCGGAAGACTCCTTACTGATGTCTACAAAAAACTTAGTACTGAAGTTAACACTAAAATCGCCAACGAACTTTCCGCACGTCTTTTTGAAGTTAATTCTACTTTCACTGCGGAGCTCGACAGAATCAATAATGATCTTAATAATAAACTTAACGAAGAAGTTAATGCGGGGTTCGGCAAATTAATACCGAACTTCATAGTAAACTCACCGCAGAAATTGAAAATTTTAAGACACGTGATGCTGGCTACGCCACAGAAACACAGAAAATTTTTGCGAGACTTTATAACATCGAAGAAGCTTGTCAAAATGATTTTGACAGAATTACATCCCTAGAGAAAGGCGTCATTGTTACGCAGAGGTTCGAAGTCGCAATTTCGACCAATATAGTGAGTCCAATGAATCTGAAGCTTCAAATCGATCACGTGAAAGCGGTAATTCTACCAGCTCTTCATCCGGTTCATCCGGTTCATCCAATTCACCTCTTGAAGAAAATAGGAACCGTTTTAAGAGAATTTCCAATGAATCTGAAGCTTTGAATCGGTCACATAATTCTACTTTATCATCCGGTTCATCCAATTCATCTTTAGATGAAAATAGGAACCGTTTTAAGAGAGTTTTCGACTTGAAAAAGGAAGTGGGGAAGACTAATGACTATGCGTTTGAAACTGTGAGACGTGAAATTCGTCATCTTACCGGGGAAAAGATTGGAAAGAGTACTATAGAAAATTTTTATTATGGTAAAGGAGATCCAAAATTTAGCATAGTGTTGTCAATTATGAGATGGGTAGAAAGTAAAGAAGTTGCTAGTAGTGTAAATAATAATAATAATAACGCGAGTAGCGCAAATAATAATGCGGAGTAGTGGGGTAGGAACTGCCATTATATGGGTTAGGGCTCGGCTAATTCCTCCCTTGAAACATCCTGCTACTCCATTTACTTTATTACTTTCATTTTTTACTTTGCCGGCCGGCCCTTTCTCATTTATTGCTTTACGAAAAAAATGAAAAAAATATAATAAAGATTTCACTTTGAATTTTTTAAACATGTGTGCATGTTTTATGTGTATATACATTCTCAAATATAAATTTTGTGTTCGCTTATCAAGCAAAGAAATAACTTGATGCTGTGACTCGCATTAAATTGTTTAAAATCCTTCTTTGATAGCATCATATGTTTCTTTTTCTAACTCACTTTTATTATTTAATAAATATGTATTGGGAAATAAGTTGTGCAAAATATATGATTTATTTCATGATTTATTACATTTTATGATTTAAAATGAAAGTAATATATACATTGTAGCTTGCAATAATAAAAATTCATTTATTCTTCATCTAGTGTGATAATGCGGTATAGTCCTATGTGTCCAAATATTTAAAGTTTTAAAATTTTCTTTAATCTTCTTTCTTCCTGGCGCAATTTCAGCGACTCACTACCCACGACCTCACTCAAGCCAAAATCAATAAAAAAGTAATGGCGACTCTTTGGTTCATATAGAATATTTTGCTCTGAGATATCATTGTGTAAGACGCCACAATTATGTATTGACTTTAGCTGATTGACGATTAACTTTTTTTCCTCTTTAGTGAGTCTTTCCGGATCAACGTGATAGGCGCCCTCAATTAATTGTAACGCTAACGCAAAAAGATATCCGTCATAAATGTAACCGTTGTAGAACAAACGTGGAATATCACGACCTAATATCAATATTGCAATAGACAAGTTAATATTATCCAAAAATATTATGAATGAAAAAAAAATTGTACCTTGACATTCTTTCAAAATAGAATATATATGAGCTTCATGTTTTAGCGTTTTCATCTGCTCTTGCTCCTTATATGCATCACAAGTCTTCCATGCTACATTTTGATTATCATAATATCCAGAAAAAACTTTTCCAAATGATCCGCCACCTATGTACTTATCTACAGTAGTAATTCCCTTGGATGAACTCGCAATTGGTATACTACTGCTTTTTGATTTTCTCTTCCTCTTCCCTATACCAGCATAACCATCACCATCATCAGAACCATCAGAGTCATCAGAGTCATCACCAGGGTCGTAAACTGGGTCGTCATAATCATCATCATCATGGTAACTAGAGTCATCAGAGTCATCATTAGATGAATAATTGTCAAGTTCTACACTTCCCAATATATTACCAACATTATCATTAATGGCAAGTTGGCTGATATAGTAAACGCATTCGCGTAAAGTCGGATTAACATCATTGGTTTGAACAACACGGGAAATATAAAGGGCGGTTTGATTTGCTTCTTCTCGCTTGAGAAAATATGTATCGCTATAATTTGATAAAATGGCATAATGGAGGCCATTACAGGCCATTTGACCAAATATCTGCGATAGGATACGTTTTTTGAATTTAAAATTTTGATCAAATCTTGGGTCTCCAAATCTTTGATTCATTATTCCACGCCGGTCGTTATATCGATAAATTTGCCAGAAATTATAACCGCGTAAATCAAGATTGTGGCGCGTTTTCATTTCCACCGGCATCTTGGCCACTGTGAAATTATTATCGCATAAAACAAAGTCAGAAGCACCCAAGAATCCGATAGGTGTTGCAATGAATGATGATCCTTGTGGAAATAACGATTCGACAGGAAATAATACGTTAGTATGTAAACGAGTTTTTGCCTCGTCTTCGATTCTGAGAGGTACTGCACTAGTTGCGTGTATGGGGAATTGTCCAGGAGGAAGATTATTTAGTCTAACAGCTCGAAAGAATCCGATCCATTCCCTCACGTTGTTTGGAAACTTTGGGTGAGCAGACAATGTTGAAGTTGTATTAGGTATATTTTGCGGGGTCCATTGGCAAACTGGAACGGTTTGACCTAGTAATTGACCTGCTGTTTGAGCCATAATAGAAGACTATTAGAAGAGCAAGAAGAAAACTAACGTTCTTTTACATCAGTATATGTATAAATCATTAACTTTTTGATTCAAATTCCGAATCAGTTTTATTTGATAAAATCATAAAATCACAGTCATACAATAGACCCTGTGCGACAGAAAAGTTTCACAACTAAGCCACCTGAAAAAATTCCGTCCTCCGCTTTAAATTTATTAGGTTTGATTAAAGTTAAGCCAGAATGCTTTTTACAAAGTTATATTTCGTTTGAACAAATGTTAAGAGACCTTGAGCAACATGCGCAGACGAATCATTCATATGGTTGGTAGACTTCGCTCATAATAATAATTAGTTAGATTTTTCGTGTAATTCCAGATGAATAAAATTATATTCGAAAAAATAATAACGAATTGCAAAAGCGTTTAAAGTTTCGAGTTTATTCAATAAGACCTAATTCTCGAAGAAGTTCAGGAATAACTACATATGGGTCTTCGTAATACCAAACATATCTTAAAACAATCGAATTCTTCTCGCAAAGTTCTTTTTTGAGTTGATCACGCGTCAACTGCTTCTCAAAGTCTTCCTTATTTTTGTGAAAATATTTATATGTTGCTCATGTTGTTTTCCCTGTACCTCTATAGCAAATCCATACTGTGGATAGTAGATGTCAAGTTCTAATCCTCGAGGATGTTCAGGTATTTTCAAGAAATCTGGTCGTCGGATGCTGGAAGGTGGGCCAAGAATGTTAGTTATGACTTCGCGACATAAATTTTCATGTTTATTTAAGCAATATGGACACCAAGATTTAACATGCTTAATACTATTAAAACTAGCAAACCATTTATGACCTTTATTACACATCCATTGCATCGGAACACAGAGATTTATATATTCTGTAGAAAGACACATACCTCCTTTACTATGAGCGATTTCCTTAGCTTCCGAAAGACCACAGGGAAAATTACCAGCACATTGTGAGCACCATCTTCCCATATTTTTTATTCGATAAAGAGTTGTAGACCATTCATGTCCTTTGACACATCTCCAAAGCATTTGAGTATTTGCATTAACATATTCTGTAGAAAGGCACTTACCACCTCGTTCTTGTGCAATACTATTTGCTATATCAATAGGTTGATGTGTAATATGATCGTGTCTTTGTACCGGGATAGGTTTTTTATCTGGTATAACATGTTTTCGACCTAGTATACTACACCTTCGACACCAAGTTCCCTTAAGAATATCTTTTGCCGAAGCCTTCCACTTATGTCCTTCTTTACACTGCCATTCAAGAGGATCCCGTCTATTAACATACTCAGCTGTAAGGCAAAAGCCTCCTTTCTTTTCTGCAAACTTCTTCATATCTTCAATTGTTCGAGTACGACGATTTTCAACTGCGCACCGTGGGCACCATGTATTTTCATTCTTCACACTACTAAGTCTTGCAGACCACAAATGATCCTTAGCACATTTCCAAAACATTGGCATCTGACAATTGATATAACTTTCAGAGATGCATTCACCTCCTCTACTACGTGCAATTTCTTTAGCAATATTTAAAGTTAATTTTGCCATTAATGTTTTATACTAAATTTTCAAAAGGTTGGACGCGATTCCTCCCTTTAAACGTGATCTACTCCAATATCTTTTATTAGTTTCATTTTTTACTTAGTCGGCCGACCCTTTCTCATGTATTACTTTGCAAAAATATAATAAAGATTGTACTTTGAGTTTTTTTAATCATGTTTCGTGTTTTACAAGTGATATTGATGTTTATTAATTACAGCTTTCGCATTCTACTGCATCGCACTTACAATCATGAAAAAATACAAAATTTACTAAACTAATATAGCTATTTACAGAAATGAAAAATCCCGCTATAAAAACAGAATAGCAAACTATAAAAATCACTCTTGATCCGGCTCATTATAATTAATATAAATATTAATCGTTTCAGCGCTCTGAGAAAATGAGGGCGTCACGGGTCTAGAACCAGAAGAAGGTGGTCTTGATAGAGAGGGTGTTGTTGGACGCGATCTATTAGGAGAAGGAATCGCTCGAGGAATTCTTGATGGTTGTCTTCTACTCGGCGTGTTAGATGATGTTGATGGTGTTACTGCATTGGGATGCTGTTGTGCTCCTAGAAACAATAAAACTTTTTTAGTATATCTTTATTCGAATAAAAAATATCACAATAAAGGCATAGTGTAAATACCAGGATCCTTCCAAAATTCGGTTGAAAATTCGGCATAATATTGTTCACCGATAAGGCTCCTCTTTTTTTTGGATCCTTCCTTATAGGCCTTAGTCGTCTATATTTAACCAAAGATATCAGATCAGAGCCGGATAAAATAATCATATCAAATGCTTGAATGCACTTACAGAGTATGCTCGGGTTAGAGTTAAAAATTTCTTATTACAATCTCCCACAGTGAAGTAATTAGTATTATTTACTCGGTTAATTTCATTCGCAATATCTTCCCAGAAGTCTTTCTTATTACGATTTGGAGTTCGGTGGTATACTTCGTTCCCATTTTTACGTTCATCAATAAGTATTCGGGTTTGTTCGTCATTCCACTGTGCAGACATTTTTACGAACAAGAAAAAGTTTTATTGAAGAGGTGAGGTAGCGTGGTAAGCAAGAAGGGCTTGCTTTTATGTGACATGATTAAATGAGCAACGCAATGAGCTGTGAATAAATTAGCGTCGTAATTGTATTAAGGCTAAAAAATATAATGATCAATCTAATGATTAATCGAATAATAAAGGTGGCTTAGTTACTGCGCAAATCTGATTGGCCGATCCTCGTGACTTGAGTTGCGGGAAGATTGCGAGGAAGGGCCGGGAACTATCTGGAAGGCATGGTGATACAAATTTTTATGTTATACATTACCTCCGGCTAATCCCTGTTAATCATGAGAGATCCACAAACCACATGTAAATATAAAATTAGCTAGATATGACTCTATATAAATCCCTACAATCGAATAAAAATGAATTTGAGTTTAGCAATATGTAGTCTCACTAAATCGGCTACAAATCGATAAAAGCGCTATATAGCATTAAAACTGCCATAATTCTCTTAACCAGTAAATTTGAATCTGATATTTATTAATAATATTGCTAAATCAGCTAAAATCGGCTATAAACTATAAAATCGGTATAATCTATTATAATCTACCAAAATACTA